ATAGCAACGTTCTCCCACCTTCAGGATCATCACCAGATACCAAACAGAGAATTCTTCCGGAGAGGATGAGTGGGCCAATACATGGCTGAATACCAAAACCTGTTAACCTAGTGCCAACGTATTGGAAATTAATTACAGTTATCCTTAGTGGTACATGGTCCCTGCTAGAATAGCAACCTTTGCTCCAGATTGTTCTGCATCATGTATTTGAGGTTGTACCGAGGACCGCACATATATTCATACTTAGTGGTCGTGTCCCGTAGTATCTACATTTTGGGATAACATTTTCCGTATCTTGAATATTTTATCCAACAAGGTCATTGATAAAAATCCAGCATTTGCCCTCCTCAATAATATCCCGTTCAACATCCCTAAGCCCATGCGGAAACTATTCCTATTTGTGCTCTCTGCAGCAAAACGTGAAATAGCCATATCCTGGAAATCCCCTACTCTTCATATCTCTAAAGTCAAACATTACGTTTCATGGATCATGACCCTTGAAAAAAGGTCTGCTAAACTCGATAATACCATGCTGACCTTTGACAGAATCTGGTCTCCTTGGGTGAGACATTACCTACCTGTTAATTTCGACCAAAGATTTTTTACCATATAAAATTTGATTTATAGTGTCTCCACCTTCCAACTATGGTTTACCCTTCTCCCTGCCCTATAATATTCAATGCTATCTATCTCTCATTTTTTCTCTCCTCTTTTTCACCTGGTATGACTCTTCTCGGTACTCCTTCAACATACTCCGGTGTAATTACCGGAGATGCCAATCATGTGTTGCGTCTCTCCCCCTAGTTTATACCCTCATGTTACACAATATACTTACACAATATTATTGAGTTATGAATGCTTTCTGATAGTCCACATTATCCCTACCCCCCAATGGTAGAGTGTATTGTGATCACTTATATGCTTAGTGTCCTCATGTTTTGCCTATACACATTACAGCCCTCACACCTGGACCTTAATGTTTTCGTTGGATATGTACGCCAGTAGCATGTATACTTGGTCTTTGATCTATGTACCCCATGTCTGTATCTTACTTTCTCTACTAATGTAACTGGATCTTTTTCTATCATTTGTTGGTATATTTCTACAAAACTAATAAAGCTTTGAAATGAAAAAAAAAAGTAGTGAGGATCACCAGCACTCAGAAGATGATGTTAAATCTGTGTGTTCATTTATTAAAGCAAATCATCACATATATCACATAGCCAACATAGGGTCCCTGCATCGGGGCAACGAAGGTGGCAACCCTCCACTCCGCTACCCACTGAACACAGGGTCATGACCACTTTTGGGTTGAGAACCAGGGCTCTAAAGCAATCTAAAGCAGCTCATTGATTTTATATAAAACCATCCCTAAAGGTGGGCAGTACATAGGTACACAAGGTTACAAACAGTTATAAAGGGTAGACAAACAAGCAAAATATATGTGCAATGTGGGTATGTGACAACATTAGGTATTGCAAAGAGTCTATTGCTTTAAATTAGACAGCTCAAAGAGCCAGTAGGAAGCAAGCTTGCATAGGGAGTCATATGTACCCTCTCATGTACAGTACATACGATAGAAACTATACATAGAAATATGTTTTTGAAAACAATAACATGTTTGGCATGTTTGGCTGAGATTATAGATGTTTAGCAGACACTGGCAGGATCTTTAAATTATTAATTACTAAAATATGACTGTATGCGCTCATACACATTTTAATTTAAGATGCTCATTAGGAATCACAGCCTGTTAAGCTTCTTTGATAGTCTTCAATTATAATAGATAGTTCTTTTATTTCATATGCAATATGTGTATGAAACAGGCCAGTGACTTTACTCATGCAGTGTAAAATACAAAAAATTAGGAAAATAGTGACTCAGGCAGTGCACAGAGTGTCCCTAAAACAATGCATTTATTAATTATCAAAAAACATTATTCTACCAAATAAAAGACAAAACACCCTTTTTCATTAATATCCCCTCCATGGTCCAGAATTAGTATAAACTTACCCCAAACTCCATTACTCCCATGTGGAGCAGGATACCGCACGCCATCCACCCATGACCAACATAACAATAATTAAAGGATAATTAAAGCCTCCGTTTTTTTTGCATAGATCTACTGCTAGCAGCAAAATCCATACCAGGCACTTTAGGTCTGGTAGGAATTTTACTTCCCAACCAATATTTAAGGCTATAGGGGAACCCCACCCCACAAAAATGGGGACAAAAACACGGGGTCCCCCCTAAAATCCCTACCAGACCCTTGATCCGACCACAGGCCAGTAAAGAGGGGGAGATGATCGAGCGCCCCTTCCACTCCCTGCGCCTTACCAGGCCACGTGCCCTCGGCATTGGGAGGGTGTGCCCATGCCGATCTACAAGTTTTGTAAAATGAAAGGAGGTTTGCAACATGTCTATCATGCCACAATCAACGGTTTGACAAGAGATATCGTAGTCGGAGGTATTTATAAAAGTCCTTGCAGAAGTGCATATTTGCACCTGAGTTCCTTAAAGCAGTCAAGGAGATTCTTGGTGATTCTTGGTTAGAGATTTCCTATAGTGCGTACACCTACTGAGAGCCAATCACAAAGACTCAAATCCTCAAGCAACATTTCAAGATTAGACAAAGGCAGAGAGAGGAGAACGTGAGAGTTCTATACTGGAGCAAGTTTAGCTAATGAACCCCTGGTGCGGATGGTGGCCGTGATGGAGTCTAAACATGTCTTGTTGGGGTTGAGGCCTAGGGGCATAGCACATAACACTTGTTCTAAATTGTGTCCCAGGACCGAGGATTCAATTTGAGTCCATAGTTTGTCAGAAGAGGGAGTCCACCAGTGCCTAGGGTGATCTAATATGACAGCTTTATAGTATTTAATCACTTTCTGGAACACCCATACCTGCATGTAATTTTGGAGCATAGAGACAGTGTTTGGTAATACATGATTTTTTGCCTTCCAATATGACGTAGTTGATAGTTTTTTGGAGTTTCCCAAGGTAAGATGGAAGAATAGGAATTGGTAAGGCATGAAACAGATATAAAATGTGAGGGAGAACAAACATTTTAGTGAGAGATATTCTACCTGCCCAAAAAGCAGGAGTTTTTTGTAGGTATTTGCATACCTAGTTATTTTTAACCATATACACTAAAACAAAACATTTTGTGATTTTTCTCCTTTAAGTGTGATAAAAAAGTCAGATAAAGAAACTTGGCCAGGCTCATTAAAATTTTGTTTAGAAAAATTGGCAGAAAAGACAAAAGATAACAGATGTAGGGGTCTTTCTTCTGATATGATGGTCTATTTAAAACCCTCATCAGACAAGGAAATGGCTTTATTTTGCCTCCAGCATAAGAAATCATTAGGTTTATCTACCTGCATTATCAAAATTGGCCACAAGATGGAGCTGAAGAGAAAACATCTTTGCGTATAGCAGCTTAGAGACTGGTTTCATTTTAAAAAAAGACTCCCAACATCCCTCTGCCCAAAAAGAAGGAAACAAGTGCATCTTGAGAGTCCAGGTTTCATTTTGGAAAGAGGAATCTACTGCCATTCCCAGCATGTGTCCGGAGGAATGAGCCCAAATCCATCTGAGGCAACATCGCTGGTATGAATGGACTTGTTTCTTTCTGTATTTGTAAGATGACACTATATTTACATGCTTTATATACTGATTATATGTTTCTATGTTCTTTTACCTGTTTCACCCCACCCTGCCTCGTTAATAAAGCATCAAGATTTAACTCAGTCTGGCGTATTGCAGCATAAGAGGGTTTAGCTGCATGTCGAGCTACATACAGAACACAAGGTATGTGTAGCGGGAACAGAACAGGCTTAGTACTATCCAAGACCCCATTGAAACCAGGGTGACAGCGTTTCAGCTCTTTGTTTGTGCTTTTTTTTTAGAGCGCTTTTTTCATGCGCTTTTTACAAGAGTTTTCTGTTCATATGCAAGAGCTTTCTAAGGTGTGTTTTCAGCTTGTTTTCAGTTGTCCAATGAAAAGCAGTCTCGTGCTGATCAGCGCTTTTCTTTTAATTGAAGTCTTTGGAGCAAAACGAGTTGATAAGCGCAACAAAAGAAGGCCAATAACTATTTTAAACAACGGGCGTATGTTTACATGCGATTCAGCGCGTTTGTGTGAAAGGCCCCTTTAGAAATACATGGGATTTTGATTTGCATGTGTTTCAGCGCAGAAAAAAAGCAGGCAACAAAATGCCTGGTGTGAACGTGGCCTTAAAATAAAAACCGAGAGTTGGTGCTTAAACTAGATGTATTGCCAATTGAAAGTTTTGGCACACCTTGGGGTCACTAATTTTTGGTGATGTTAACATTCGTAGAGAAGCAGAGTCCCCAGGAGGCATAAGCACAGAAGCTGGAATCACCACAGCAGAAAATAGGAAAGCTGAAAAAACTGCCAACATGGCTTGCAGCTCCTACCAAAGAGGGTTTGGAACTGAAGTACCTAAACTACATGAACTTTAACCACTTCAGCTATTGTGCAATATGATGTAGGACAATGTCAGTAGAATAAATAGCTTGAGCACACTAGCACAGGGTAACTTAGTTGCTTTGTGTCACAAGTGGATGAGGTAGGTTTTCCTCAGAGTAAGGAACACCAATACCAGGAACCCTCTCTGTACTAGGTGACAATTGCAATACCTGAATTTTACTGTTTACTCCTTTGTAAATGGGTTATTAACCTTCAGATGTAACATTTAAGGTAATTTAAGGTAATAAAGTGGCATTATACAGTGTAAAAGTTAAAACCAAACAATTGATAGGACAATGTTTCAATGGCAGTATGTGTCTAATCCAGTTTAATGCTCCAGGGCCTTTTTGTATTTGTGCTCCCTATTTCCTACTACAATACACATTGTACTGGTCTTTTGGTTACTGTATATGGAAAGAGAAGAAACATACTAATTAAACAAAATAAATAAAAACTTACTGCAAGAAGAGATAATAGTTATGTTAAGCATTTTATGGTCAATGTTTACCTCGGTGTGCAATTCCTAAAGAACTGCGACTTTGTCTGTGTGACTTTTCTTCCTCTTCCTCCTCGTTGAAGTCATTCATGTCTGCAATGTCTGATGGCTTTAGACTCAGGAGACTGGCAATACTCTGCATGTCTTCATCCCTGACACAAAGAGAGTTAATGTAAAATGTCAAGTACAGGCCAAGACTAAACAAAAAGAAACAAAAGGATGCTATTTAGTAATTTCTTATGTGAAATAAAATTTTGCATCATTATGATTATTGGTCTACCCCACAACCTTTTAACCTCTTGCCGTCCGCCCGTAGTAAAAAAACGGACGGACGGCACTGCTGCATTTGCGGGTTGCCGTCTCCAGACGGCAATTTTTTTCTGCTCGCGCGCGCCCCCTAGCGGGCACGCACGGGCAGAACAGACCCGACCGTTGCACACACCCGTTACCGGGTGTTTCACATATAGGCGATCAGCGGGTCCATAGCCTGCCGATCGCCTATATGTGCTCGTTCGCGGCAAAGAACTCGGACCAAAAGTGGGAATGTTTTAAAAACACATTACATATTGCCATTGCCAAATGTATACCATTGGGTAATAAAAGTATACGGGTTTGACGCCTACGATAAAACACTTAGTTCATCACAGAACATAGCCAAGTGGCTGAAAGAACCCGGGATACAACAAAGGCTTAGTCTACTTAATGCGAATAAAGCAGTGGGACCGGATAATCTGCACCCCAAGATACTTAAGGAACTAAGCGCGGTTATAACAAGACCATTATTCATCATTTTTAAGGACCCATACACAGACACACACACACACACACAATAGGCTGGACTTGATGGACATATGTCTTTATTCAACCTCAAATACTATGTAACTATGTAACTTGTCACAGATAGGGGAAAATGAAGGTTAAAACAAAAAGGAAACATTACATTCTTGAACATTTACATCACATTGGCAAATAATACAAGAACACAAGTTCCACAATCTGGCCACAAGAAAACATACATGCAAACTGTGGGCATAGCATTGTTTAGGCTTTTTTTCATATCTCAATAGGTTGAACTCGATGGACATGTGTCTTTTTTCAACCTGACTAACTATTTAACTATGTAACTGCTACCAAGTTATAAACTTGTGAGAGACCTACACTTCTAGTAAAAAAACAAAAACAAAAAAACAAACAAAAAAAAAACCTCTGCTCTCTAGCAGATAACAGGAATGGCTTGGAGAAACATAAAATATACCCCAGGCAGCAGTGGGCCCCAACAATATTGACAATTATTTCTTTCAGACATCTGACCTCATACTATTAACGTCAAAGCACAGTAACTGGATGCAAATACATGATTATCAAATATGACACTCATTTACCTACGTTGAAAGGCCAAATACAGATATTGGACTCATTATCATATTAGAAGGATTGAAATGATTCAACTCCCATATCCCAAAACATAAAAGGTATACTCCTTTTAAATTTACAAATAGAGAGCTAGATAGCAAATTAAGGTTCGCAGTTTAGATGTATTGTATTTGTTTCTGTCAAAGAACCTACATACCTTTACTATTAAAAACCTTTCCACATACTTCCATGTCATCAAAAGCAGTGTCTAAGCTGTTAAGTAGATTCGATTTAAAAGGTAGATATAAAACCAAGGTTAACAATTTAGAGATTAATCCACAGGAAAAGTTTCTTCGAAGATGAAGAAATAAAAACTCCTTGCATGATGGGATCTCTAAAAGAAATTAAATGTAGCTAGCATGCTTTAAGATGAAACCAAGATGAAAAGGGCTTGCTGATGTTAATTGGATATAATATTGCTGATGGATCTTGAAAAATCCAAAAAACTGTTTTTGTTTGCTACAAACTACCTATATACAGCTAAACACATAAGTAAAATGCACATTTGAGAGCTGCCAAAGATTTTGAATTTCTGTCCACCCAGTCCTGAAATTCACAGTTTTGTCCCACTTTTACTTACAGGTCTTCCAATGACCCCCACCCTGTGAGTGGACAGCAAAAGGTGAAGCAGCACACAAAATGTTTCCGTCACTCTGCTCTGCTTTAAAGCCCCGTTCACATTGAGCGATTTATCGCGCGGTAATTCCTGCCATATCGCGGCAAATTACCGCGCGATATCGCGCTCCAATACATTTAATGGGGCAAAGGGTCCTGCTGTCGCGGGTCGTGTGTCGCTACAGCAGGACCCTTTTTGGAGCGGATTTAGCCGCAATTCAAGCTTGCTCAATGCAAGCTTGAACGCGATGTCGCGCAATATGCAAATCGCGTGACAAATGCGCGATTTGCATATCGCGCAGCAGGAACGGGGCCTAAATGACATTCATCAAGTTTCTGATGGCATTATTGAATGTTCTAATGAGAATATACATATAAATGTTCATATGAAAAGCTACCAGTGTATGACCAACTTTACAGAGACCAGGAGGCATTAATGTTTGCATTACAGGGACCAGGGCTGAAACAATGATCGTTTTAAAGAGGACAAGAAGGCATTAATGTAGAACTCCAGCCAACACAGACTAAGCTAAAAACTGATAGCCCATTAAAAGATTTTTAAAAAAGCAGATTTTGTTGCAATATTTACTTTTTATATTTTATCATCCCTGCAGTACTTAATCATAAGATGCCCTCAGTCTGATGGCTAGCATCATTAAACCCTCTTCCTATGAACCCAGGCAGTCCTGGACCTGCCCCTGCCTGTGAGAGTGAAAGCAGAAGCAGCATATTGGTGAGCTTATCTCTGTCACTCTTTCCCTCTTATCAGCATGTCCCTTGTCTGTGCATTAACTGATTGGCTCCTTCTGTTACTTCTTCCTCTTATACCGCAACCCTGCTGAACATGGACTGCAATGGGCTGATACTATGTCATATTCAGATATTTATTACAGTATTTATATAGCGCCAACAATTTACACAGCACACATTCACATCAGTCCCTGCCCTCCAGGAGCTTGCAATCTAAGGTCCTGCCCTCCAGGAGCTTGCAATCTAAGGTCCTGCCCTCCAGGAGCTTGCAATCTAAGGTCCTGCCCTCCAGGAGCTTACAATCTAAGGTCCTGCCCTCCAGGAGCTTACAATCTAAGGTCCCTATCACATGCAAACATACAAGGGCCAAATTAGACTGGAGCCAATTAACCTACCAGCATGTCTTTAGAATGTGGGAGGTAACAGGAGTACCCGCAGGAAACCCACGCAAGCACAGGGAGAACATGCAAACTCCTTGCAGATAGTGTCCTGACCGGCAGAAGTGCTAACCACAACGCCACTGTGCTGCCCTTATTTACACTGCTTGAATTTTAAAAATTATTTTAATTATGTATTATTGATTACGGAGCTGCATTATTTTCCTCTTTTATATCTTCCTGCAGCTCGGCTTTAATGAGTGCATTACAGAGATGAGGTATGCATTAGCGAGTACATAATACCGCAACCCTGCTGAACATGGACTGCAATGGGCTGATACTATGTCATATTCAGATATTTATTACAGTATTTATATAGCGCCAACAATTTACACAGCAGACATTCACATCAGTCCCTGCCCTCCAGGAGCTTGCAATCTAAGGTCCTGCCCTCCAGGAGCTTGCAATCTAAGGTCCTGCCCTCCAGGAGCTTGCAATCTAAGGTCCTGCCCTCCAGGAGCTTACAATCTAAGGTCCCTATCACATGCAAACATACAAGGGCCAAATTAGACTGGAGCCAATTAACCTACCAGCATGTCTTTAGAATGTGGGAGGTAACAGGAGTACCCGCAGGAAACCCACGCAAGCACAGGGAGAACATGCAAACTCCTTGCAGATAGTGTCCTGACCGGCAGAAGTGCTAACCACAACGCCACTGTGCTGCCCTTATTTACACTGCTTGAATTTTAAAAATTATTTTAATTATGTATTATTGATTACGGAGCTGCATTATTTTCCTCTTTTATATCTTCCTGCAGCTCGGCTTTAATGAGTGCATTACAGAGATGAGGTATGCATTAGCGAGTACATAACAGATACCAGTGTAGCAGCAATGAGTGTATTACAGAAGCCAGGAAGGAATTAAGGAGATCAGGACTGGATGCAGGGATGAGGGCATTACAGAGACCAGGACAGCAATAATGAGTGTATTACATAGACAACGGTTGTATCAATTAGTGCATTAAAAGTTCAGTGTTGAAACGATCAGTGTATTACAGAGACCAGGGGTACCCGGTTTGATATGTGTGGCTGCTCTGCCAGCCAGAAGGGAGGCACCTTCCTGCATTCAATTGATGGCAGTGGAGGGATGGCCTGCACCATCTAGTCCAACACTACCTTCATCGGATGTGATTTGTGTCTAGTGCTACATGTCCCAAATACAGTGAGCAGGGCAGCCATCAGTGGGGTACAGCCGATACTCATGTAAGGGGCCCGGGTCCCTTACATGACTATCGGCCAACGGTGAAGGGCGAGGAGGCGGAGGCCTGGCCCTAGCAGCGCAGGGCCCCAGCATTACCGCTCCAGTGGCTTTGAGACAAGCTGGGGCCTCATCAGCGGCGCTGCTCGTCTGATGTCGTACTGGCCGGTTCGCCGGCAGACGAGGCCATGTGTGCAAGTAAGAGGAGCTAGGTAGGAAGGAAAGGAGGGATGCAGCCCTGACCAGCCCACCTGAGACCCCTTCAGAGCCCACCACAGACAGTCGTAGATGGGCTGTGCAGCATCTATGGTGGGCTCTGCAGAATCACTCTCAGGTGGGTCCTGTGTCCAGTGCGTCACTAAGCCCTGCGCCCAGAGCGTCACTAAGACCTGCGTCTAGCGGCGGGTGGGGGTGGGGCCCGGCCTAAAGCCGTGTAAGGGGCCCCAAAATTTCTGATGGCTGCCCTGACAGTGAGCACTCTACTAGTGCTGTGTTCACCAGCACACCCAGTTGGGTGAAAAAAGGTTGCACTGTCCACAGCAGCTAGTTGGCATGATATGGAAAATCTGCTCTCCCTGTTGTAACTATCCCTTCTGCCTGAACATGACTAGCACAACCTGTTCCAGACCTCCCTTGACTTTTCATTTTGAGAAAAATAAGTATATATTTTCATATGATTTGTTACATACAGCAAATTAGGTGAAAATAAGTTACAGTTTATAAAAGGTCCAAAACTGTT